TGAACCGCTTGCCCAGCGTCCCCTCTGCCTCCCCGCCCCCATCCCACCCTGTCCCCCTCCGCCTGTGTGTCTCTGGTCCCAATTCCAGTTGGAGCTCCAGGCCGATGCTCTCCTAGCCCCAGGCATCCTCTTGCCTTTAAGGCCCAAGCACTCCGTCCTCGTCCTCGCTTCCCCCCACACTCCCCGCCCAGTGCCCTGCTTTTAAATTCATTATGCCTTTTATTGCTCGCGATTGCGTACACTATTTCTATTGCCCTGGAGACTGGAATGGTTCAAGCAGGGAGAGACGCACGATGTGGATTTCATTAACTTTACTCTTTACTGCCCGTTCAATCCCAGGGGTGCGGCGCAGGGGTGTGAGTGGGGGCTGGCCTGGCTAGGGAACTGGACACCTCTTCAGTGCCATCCACTCAGTGCTGGACCCTGGGGTTAGCTGACTTCCCTCGTCTTGTGAAGCCTCCCACTTCTGCATCTCCCTCTGCCCTCCTGGGGAGAGGAATTGTCACTGGCCCATCTCACAGGTGGGCAAAGAGAGGCTCTAAAAGGCGAAGCTTGGGCTGCTAGCAACAAAGTGGTGGGAGGCGGGGAAGGTGAGAACAGGTTAGATCAGGACTGCCAGCCCTCTCCCAGGCTGATGTCACCCCCCTTGGGCACTGGGACCCCAGCTTCCCCCTCCTCCTTTGCTGCGCTTCACCAAAGGTAGAGGACTGGAGGCCGGTCAGCTCCTTCTTGCAAATGAGGCAGTTTTATGGGCTTTAGAAAAACACTCCAATTGTTCCCTCAATTACCCTGGAGCAGATTGAATATATTAATCTCTCTCTAACTCGAGTTAGAGACTCTGCTGCCGCCCCTCCCCCAGCCACCAGCGCCCCTACACAGGCACGTGCCAGAGATTGACTCCCAGCCCCCACCCTCTGGGCCTCAGCGTCCCCCAGCAGGTCAGCCCTGTCCAGGCAGTGTGTTTCTGCCGAGGCTGTGCCCACTGCCAGCACACACACACACACACAAACACACACACACACACACACACACACACACACAGGAACACACACACACACACAGGAACACACACAGGAATACACACATACACATACACATACATAC